GGCTGGATGCAGGTACCCGCCAAAGCCACTCAACTGGACAGGGGAGAGAAAATACGGTGGAAGGCTCGTTAGTTGGGTTAAGGTCAGGGAGAGATCACTCGCCAGTTACCGTCAAGGGCAGAACAGACTCAACGTGGGAGAAAAATAGTTTAATTTATTATCAATCACATCAGAGTAGGATAATGAGAAATAAAACCAAATCTTAAAAAACACCTTCCCCCCACCCTTCTCTTCTTCTTGGGCTCAACTTTACTCCCAAATTCTCTACCTCCTCCCTGCCAGTGCCACAGGGGAACAGCGAATGGGGGTTGTGGTCAGTTCATCACATCTTGTCTTTGCTGCGCCTTCCTCGTCAGGGCAGGACTACTCATGCTCTTCCCTGCGCTGTTGTGGGGTTCCTCCCACAGCAGACAGTCCTCCATGACCTTCTTCAATGTGAGTCCTTCCCATGGGCTGCAGTTCTTCATGAACTGCTCCAGCATGGGTCCCTTCCATGGGTGCAGCCCTTCAGGCACAGACTGCTCCAGCTTGAGTTCCCCACGTGATCCCGCAGGGTCACAGCCTCTTTCAGGCATCCACCTTCTCCAGTGTGGGGTCCTGCATGGGCTGCAGGTGGAGATCTGCTCCCCATGGACCTCCATGGGCTGCAGGGGCACAGCAGCCTCACCATGCTCTGCACCATGCGCTGCAGTGGAGATCTGCTCCCCATGGACCTCCATGGGCTGCAGGTGGAGATCTGCTCCCCATGGACCTCCATGGGCTGCAGGTGGAGATCTGCTCCCCATGGACCTCCATGGGCTGCAGGTGGAGATCTGCTCCCCATGGACCTCCATGGGCTGCAGGGGCACAGCAGCCTCACCATGGTCTGTACCATGGGCTGCAGGGGAATCTCTGCTCTGCACCTGGAGCACCTCCTGCCCTCCTTCTGCACTGACCTGGGTGTCTGCAGGGCTCTTCCTCTCAAATGTTTTCATTCCAGGGTCTGGCTAAGCTGTTCTGTCCTGCCAGGGCAATACCTCGTCGGGCTCTGCCTCAGGCAGGCAGCAGCATGGCAAACAGTGCCCTTGAGCCACAGAGGCAAGGCTGCTGGAGCTGGAGGAGGCCACAGGCTGTGGTGTGTTAGCCAAACCCTGACGCGGTGTCATGGCTGCAGGCACTTCAGGAGCCCAGTGGTGCAGACCTGGATTCAAGATCTCTAAACGGGGTTGTGTGGCCATGGTGGTAACACATGAAAGCACAATTGTTACTCAGTAACTTTTAAAATACAAGAGCTGCCTTCCAGTACCTCTATAAAGATTCTACCGAATAACCTGCTGTGACTTAGTAACTAGTATTCCTCCCTTCACAGTACCGTGACTAAGCTAACTTCCAGGGCCATGAAAGTGTGAAATAAATTATTACTCTTCTCTGTTTAAAAATTAGAAAAACATAGCTCGTTACAACATGTTACAGCTTACCTTGAAGTCAGCTGAAAGCACATGCACCTCACTGCTCTGTAGGGTTCTACACACGGCCTAGTATGAAGAAATGTATTTCACTGGTATGGCTACGTTATGATCAAATAGTTGAAATTACTTTGGTGTGTTGTCTTAAAATCTGTAGTGTGCAGTAGTGTAGCTACTGTGTAGGGTGGTCCTGTGAAGCAGTTTCATTAAATTTTGCAACACTAGAATTCTCCACTTAATTTCTTATTTATTTGTGTAACTGTGACATGAAGGGATGCAGTAAATATATCTAAGAATATATCTAATGACTGTATTATCAAATACAGTCATATGTGCTACAAATGTCTTTTCCCCATCTTCACGATTTGAAGAGTTTCTTTTTCTTCTAGCTGGAAGCTCCTCATTGACATCAATGTTTTCATTAGTTTCGCCATTTATCAGTCCGTTAAACTCTCTTCTTCCTGGGCGAGTTACTCTGAATGACAACGAGTAAGACTTCACCATATGGCTGTTGCTTGGTTCAAACTCGTTGCTGGAAACTGCAAGCGATGGGAAGTTGCCCGGTTTTATTTGGCTGAGGTCTGGGTTTAAAGGCACCTGCTTTTTACCTGTAGGAACCTGTCTTATCGGACAACTGACATCCTTTCGTTTCTTGTGGCAAACTTTCACAAGCAGTACTTCCAGGGTTACAGAATTTTGTTCATTCTCTGAGTTTTGTGATGGCTTATCATTTTTATGGAAGAACCCAGTAAACGTAAGTTGCAAATGAGCAGATAAGCTGTGAGAAAACCAACTAGGTCAAAATGTACACATTCTGCATTGTAGAGGAGCAATACTGAAGCACTGCTTTTGTTGACAACTCCGTGATCCGATATATTTAATAGAAGGTAACTGTTTGCAGAGCAGCTCTTCTTGTCTTGTTTCCCCAAGACATTTTGATCTTGTATATAAAGCTTAAGAAGCTCATTTATTTATAAAGAGTCAAATTAATTCTTAGTCACCCCTTCACCATGATAATTACTCTCCTTTACCGTGAAACTTTACCACTCTACTAAGCGGAGAGCGAATGCAGTATTTCAGCTCAAAATGGCAACTGGCTGGAAATGAGCCTTAGGAGACAGGCTTCCTAGGACAAGCTTGCTCTGAAATACTTTCAGGCCTTTTCTGCAGTCTCCTAGAATTATGATGCTATGAACAAAATCATAACAATAGAAGTACCATTTTGTTTGAATTTAAACAATTTGCTGTTTTTTTCTGGGAGATACCTGAAGCTTTTTTTTCCGTAAGGAAATGACTCAAGATTTTTCCTGTTCTGGAGAAGACAGATTCCGGTCTGAAACTTCCCAGCTCCAGCAACAGACTTAGTTTCTGGTTTTGTTCCGATGTGACATCCACACAGGGCTTAACGACTGTGGGTTTTACACCCCTTTCTCCAAGGTAGTAGTGCATCGCAGTAGTGGCTGGGAGCTGAAGCAGCATACTGTTCACCGAGACAGAGGCGTGGGAAGGCAAGCACAGGAGGGCTGTGAGAAGTACACACCAGCAGCTCTAGCTGTGTAAGTCCTGGAAGCATTCATATACAGAACTGTTCTCGTCAAGGAGAGCAGGCAGCTACTGCCAGATCAGAGCAATGACAAATGAAACCAGATGCTCGCCTTGCCGATGGATTGGAGCACTCTCTGATGGTACTAGAAGCCATCTGCTCCCAGTGTCAAGCGTCAGTGAAGTCCTCATTAGATCTGTCAGAAACTTAGGCCTTCAGTCAGTGCAGCACAGCATGCCTGATTTAGGACTTGGGACTTCTGTTGATCAAGGTGCGATTTCTATATTAGGATACTTCCTCAGTGATTTCCTTCCCCTCTGCTTAATTCCAGCTTTTTGCATTCACAGACAGACTGCATACTACATCATCATTTATCTTAGTATCATTTCTCTGCGAAATTTGTATATACTTTGGCCTTTCAGAAAGGGACATTGGCTAAAACTGAGCTCTTACACTGCATCATAAATAAGGAATAGCGAAACAGGAGGCATTTCAATCTTAATTCCATCTAAGATTAAAAAGATTTGAGTCAGCTCAGCTGATACAGTATGGAAACATGTAACTTTAAAAAAAGTGTAAAAAATCAGTAGGAATTATAATAAATATGCCCATATTTCACTTGTGACAGTCTAAAGGTACTTCAAAGTCTTAGTTGTAGGTGTAAATATATATGCCAAACTTACCACAATTTTGCAACTGCTTTCAGATTTTGAACGTATTTCGGATTTTGAATATAATGCTACTGACTGAATCACAGTAACTTTGTGGTCTCAGAAATCCAGCTGCTTGTGTTGGTTACAGGAGGAAACATGGTGCCATAGATGTACTGTAATTTTCTGTTTAAACCTATGGGCTGGAATAAAAGTTTATACACAAATCATGGTGCTGTAATACAGTGTGATACAACCTTGGATACTTCTGCCAAGGAATATGAATTTCATCTTAGGGATGCCAATCTGATTAGCATTTCCAGTGCTCCATTCAAAATACTGATTTTTACTGAGTTTGCTCTGGTAGAATGATTATTAATGAATTACTGTCAGTCTTGTTTCCATTTAGTGAGCTAACAAATATGCCTTCACAAGTGTGGTACATACAGATAGTCAGAGCAGTTTTGTGTTCCCTCTAATCTGGCTTTTCAGTCACAGATTAAAGCAAGAAGAATGTTGTCTCCTAAGCAATTCCTGAGAGCATAGCAAGCGTTGAAGCTTTGTTAAGCTGTCAGTTTTAAATATTTATCTGCACTAGAAAGACATTTTTTTTCTAAGGCAACAATCTTGTGCTCAAAATTTATGGAAATACCTAATGTGACAGTTTAATTACTATATTTTCCATCTTTTGTCTCATGAGTCCAGAGTTAAACAAGATTTACTTTCAGTTTGATTCAGGACAGTATCGGGTGTTGGTACTATTGTCAGTGAGCTTCTTTTATTCTTTTTTTTGGTTGTACAGATGAAACTTCTTTCTGCAACTCCTGGAAAAATTGTTTGTGAAATGAAAGTAGAGGAGGAGCACACAAACAGAGGTGGCACATTACATGGAGGTTTGACAGCTACACTTGTGGATGTGGTGTCAACAGCAGCGTTGCTGTACACAGAAAGAGCGCTGCCCGGGGTCAGTGTGGACATGAACATCACGTAGGTATCAGCCACGATATTTACCAGAACGTACTAACTTCTTCCCCTAACATAGTACTGAGTCCATTGTACATCATTTCTATGCTGTAGTACTCACGTGAAAAACAAACGAACAAAAAATAAGGTATTTTCTGTGATTTTAGAAATCTTGTTTTCATAAATTAAGGGGAGGTTGTATTTTGACACATTGCGATTTGGGTGTGAAATTAGAGTTGGACTTTAATCTTTTATTTGTTACACACATTTAAGAGACTGTGCCCATTCATTCATAGAATGTGAAGGGATGTTGATATAGAATGTGGTGAATTTTAGTCTTAAATAATTAGCTCAAATTCTGTCTTCACTTGTAAAGATATGTTAGAGTGTCCTCAAACACTAGGGTAAGCAGCTTTCTGTAAACCCTCTTTTAATATTGCTCAATAAAATGTTGAAACAGGGAAAACATTAAAACAGGAAATAGTTTAGCTCTGTTGTATGGTCACATAGAAAGCAAATTACAGATTGAATCAGAATTTCTCAGTGGAGGAAGATTCCTTTGCCCTAGGTGATTTAAAGGTAGTTTTGTGCTGAGAATAGTTCTTTCTGTAATGCAAATCTAAAAGCACGTTGTCTTTAAAAAAGTTGCTCTGAAACCTTTTTTGCTTATGCTGTTACAGCTTGTCAGCTTTGATTCATTACTTTTAATGAAGAGATTATAACTAATTGGAACTAAAGCAATCCTACTTGGAATAACTTGGAACATTAAAAATCTTGGGAAAGTATCCCCTCATCAAAACTTGAAAAATAAGCTTTAAAAGTGTCTGGGGAGTGATCTGTATCTTTACCAGGTTCCCTCCTTCCTCTCCCCCGCTCCCCGTATCTTCTGATTTCTCCACTGGATGGGTGGGACTGGAGCATCTATTTAAGCTTTATACTGCCATTGTGATGACTAGGAACTTACTGGAAATGAAAACCTGAAATTCTCCTATGATTATGGGGGTTTTC